TCTGGGAGATTAGCGAACCCTGCACGGAGGTTGGACGAGACCTCGACCGACGGGTTGTCGACTAGGAGGATCCGATGCCTCTCCTCCTGGGGCTGTGTAGGGGGCTGCAGGTCCCTCAGAAGATCCTCCAGGTCCTGCGGGGTGGTCTTGGTAGCCTTGGCCAGCTTGCTGAGCCGGGCGCTGTCCCAGGGCAGAATCTGCTGCCATGGTAGCCCCATCACCAGCGGCCTTTGTCTGAGGGGGTCGGCGAGGCCAGTCTTGATCGCCTTGTTGTAGAAGACCACGTTGGGCCAGGACAACAGGAGGGGGCGCGTGCGGTAGCAGAGGGTCAGTTGCACCACCGCAGTGGCGCCCTCCCCCAGCGCGTTGTGCAGTCGGTCGAAGATTGAAAGACACAGTCCGCGGTCGGCCGCCTTCCTGGAGAGGACGGTCGGGGGGAGTTGCTTTGGGTCGCCAATTAGCAATAGGCGCCCACCAGAGCGCATGACGCCCACTAGGGACATCGCGGCCATCAGCTCGCGCGCCTGTCCTGCCTCGTCGACTATGAGCAGGGCAACGGGGGAGGCGATCTTGAGAGATTCTGCCGCTTCGCGTGTTGCTATGATCATCTTGGCATCCCTCAACAACTGCGCTCGGAAGGTGGTGAGTTCCTTGGAAGGGCCACTCAGGTGGGGGTGGCGGTTGTGCGTTCTGTAGATGTGCCCCTCGGGTGCGAGGTGGGAGAGCTTGGGTGCTACCCGCGTGCCCTTGGCCAACCTGACGCACCTGTTGGGGAAACAGGTGTCGGGCGCCAACCTGCCGCCTTCGCACGCATCCCCTAGGCCGATAGCGGGCCGGTCGGCGGCTGTGTTTGACCCAGCCGACCATTGGCGAGCGAGCTTGCCAAGGTGCCCATTGCGTTCGGCCACTGCCTGACCCTTGGGGAGCGAGCTTGCCAGGGCGCCCATTGTGGCCACTGGGAACAGTGTTTTGCCAGTCCCTGGGGGCCCGTGAACCACTGTGACATGGTGACGTGTGGTGGCGACCAGGGCTTTGCTAGCGTCCGCGTTGAGCCGATGTCGAAGAGCGGCGCCGTCCAGGTTGGAAACGGGGGGGAGGTTCCTGACCCTCTGGAGCACCTGTCCCACAGCGCTCTCCACCTCGCCGTCGGTGAAGGGGGAGTCGGGGGACCCCTCGCACTGCTGTGCCCCGTGTGCTGCGTCGTCCGCCTCGCTTGCGGGGGGGATACGAGCCTTGGCCTCGATGGTGGCTCTTGCTCTGGAAAGAAGGGAGCTGCTGCCCTTCCTGGTATTCTTCACCTCATTCGCACGCGTCCCGTCAGTCTTGTCAATGGCGCGGTGGTTGAGTAGGAAGGTGAGGACGTCGAGCGGTGCGCCCACCAGGTCGTCTGGATCCTGCTGCAGTTTGTAGATATTACTGACGGCGTCGTATATTCGCCAGTACTGCAACTTAGATAAAGCCTTGTCCAAACGATACACAACGTCGCCCTCCTTGCTAGCCTTCTCGTTCACACCGTCTGAGAGTATATCCTTGGCCTGGCTGGAATCGCACCATGCCAGGGCTTGGTTGGGGGGGTACTTGGCTCCAGCCCTAAGTTTGAGGACGTCGCACTCGTTGCGGGGGATGGCGCCCCCGAGGTCCGGTGGCCACACGAGCTTGAGGGTGGCGATCTGGTCCTCCGTCGGGCCGGTGAGACTGAGAAGCGTTGTACGTGACTGAGCGTCCATCCCGCCTTCCACTCCTCGTAGCATCAGCTTGAACTCGACTGGCCAGTGTAGGTGTAACAGCAGCTTCCCTTCCCGCGGCGGGAAAGCGTTGCGTAGGTTGTACTTGTCCAGGATGTGGCAGGAGGACAGCTCGCTGATGGGTGTGACAGCCACCTCCAGGGCACAGCTCTTTTTGCGCGCCAACTCTGTCCTGGTCTTTGCGGAGCCGTCCCACACTGTCTCGGCGGCTGCCATGTGCTCGGTCCAGGCTAGCCTGGAGAGAGTGTTGCCCCTTTGTCGTAGATCTTGCTCCCAGTGTTTTGGCAGGTTGACTGCATCGGGGACCACAACAGGGGGGGGGGGGGAGGCAGAATTGCGCGCCTGGGCTGTCCTCGGGGGGTATGTTAAACAGCCGTATGACGGCCTTGGCCGCCTTGTCTGCAGGGGAATCAGGTGTAAGGCTGGTCTGGAGGGGAGCGTCGCCTGCCCAACTGCTCTCGTCCGCCAGAAGATGTCCTGCGCGGTCCACTGGGTCCAACGACGAAGGCCTACTGGAACCCGCGTGTCTCTCCCTCTGAGCCGGTGTTGCGTACAGCCTGCCTGCTGCGGCTGGGCTCGGGGGAAGCAGGTCGGTGCTCCCCCACGCCCCTGAAGTGCGTCCCGCGCTGACTCCCCAACCGTATCGGTATAGGCTGGAGGGGCGGAGGTCTGCTGAGTGCACAGTGTCGGTGGAAGTGGTGCAGTCGAACACGTCGTCGCGGTAGGGGAAGTTGACTGGTACGTAGTCCCAGTCTTCTGGAAAGGACCAGCCTGGAATATGCGCACAGCTGCCGTCCTTGGCTGTGCCGGGGAGTTCCCAGCCAGGCCACTTTGGTCTGTCAATATGCTGCCCTGTCACGCAGTCCATGGTCGATCCCCGGGTCCTGGCCCAGAGGTTGCCCTGCCCAGTGTACGATCTGGGGTCCGGCCAGCCTGTGCCCCTCTGCTTCTCGGCCTCGTCGTAGTGGTCCCCACTCAGTATGTGCTCTTTGCCGGCGCAGAGCTTCTGGCAGATCTCGCACCACCAGCACCACTCGTGGTTGAAGTACCACCAAGCGTGAAGAATTACTGAACACTCCCCCTCCCCCCCAAACTCAAAGTTGGCACGCGCGGGGGAGACTGCGGTCGAAGTGCAACTCATCAGACCCACCGCCGACTTTGAACATTGGGGGGAGGGGGATGCGTTGACAGATGAATGTGGCATGAGTGTTCGCTATTTTTTTTCCGAGGCCTGTCGTTCCCCTATGGTGGCTTGGGAAGGGGGTCCGTGCTCGGGGACGCACTGACCCGGGTCAGCGCACACCTGGGTCAGTCAGGCCTTGCAGGATCATGCAGGATCCTGCAAGATCCTGCAGGATCCTGCACGCAAGCCTGGGTAAGTGCACCTCTGGCTCTGCAGGATCCTGCAAGATCCAACGCTCTGGCTGACCCCCGCTTGCACTGACCCCAGTCTCAGGACTCCCGACGTACCAAGAGGCAGGTCTCTCTGGGAATACAGAGACGACGACGGTGCACCCCCCACTCGCTCCCGATCCAAAATTCTCGGACGGTCTTATTCATGCGCTTGGGCTTTACACCAGCGATGAGAGGGCCGAAAGAATCCACAGGAGAGGTGGAGATGCGAAGACGGGGAGGAGGAGGCGAAGGAGGAGGGATTGGAGAGAGACTTGGGAAATGGTGGAGGCAATGGGGGAAGGAAGGAAGAAATGCGAGAGTCAAGAATGATGAGAGGGAGTGAGAAGCCGTGCACGTCAGAGGTGCACGTCCAAGGATGATGGCCAAAGTAAAACATCCATCAATGAATACAGGACCTGCCTATGAATGAACGGAGGTCTGGCGGGCAGACCTCATAACTGCACGCCATATATTACAAAGGTTCAATGTGATCCAAACTAATATCAATAACAGATCCAACGACGTACCACATACAGATGCGTACAGGAACTATAAAATTATGATGTGCGTTTGAACTGGCCAACCGTCCCTGAGCACGCGGACCTGACCGCCAGCTATTTCATATAGGATGGGATACAGGTATGTTATGGTGGGCAAGTTCTGCCAAGAGGCCATTCAGCTCATTGCCCTGGACAACCAAAAATCAGCCAGTGCAGACTGCAAATAGATCAGAAGACTGACATGAAGTGTACCGTAGAGGACTGAAGCACACTGGACTGAAGTAGACAGGATTGGACGATTGGACGTGGGTGGACTCTGTTCTACTCAACTCTACGCTACTCTGGTCTACTCTACTCCACCCTATTATACCTGACTCTACTCTTTCACCTGCCCTCCTGTACTCTGCTCTGCTCTACTCAACCCTATTCGACTCTACACTAGCCTAAAGTAATTTACTGTAAATCTACTCTACTCTGCTATACTCTACACTGCTCTACTCTACTCTACTCATATTATACTCTAGTGTACTCCGACGCTACTCTACTCGAATACGATCTCATCTACATGACTCGACTCTACTCTGCCCGACTCTACTCTACTCTATTGTACCCGGCTCTACTCTACCATCTACCCTCTACCCTACTCTACCCTACTGGACTGCACTCTCCTCTACTCTACTCTACTCTACCATACTCGAAGCTGCTCTCTACAGTTTACTCTCTACGCTGCTCTACTGCACTCGGCTCTACTTCTACTCCTACTCTACTCTACGCCTAATCCACTCTACTCTACTATACTCTGCTCATACAAATGAATGTTCACGCTCAGGCTGGTGCACGAGCAGAAGTGCGTGCGATGGCTCAACTTGCGCGCACGATCTCGCAAGCGTTCGCGATGGCACCTTTGCACGGGCGCACTTGCAAGTACATGCGTGTGCTAATGCGCTCGAATATACTTGCGTACACCTCCGTGTGTCCATGTACGCCGTCCCTCCAATCCGCTCTCTGCGATCAAACGCACGACAAGCGAATTCGAGCGGCAAAGTTAATAATGGTACATGCAGGGATGCGACTTACACAAGGTGGCAGGGGGTGAACTCACCGCTGTGGTAGAATGAGCAGCATACAGTATGCGTTGAATGGGATCAGCACCCCTTCTGAAGCCTTGGCAACATGGCTTCCTCTGTGCACTATCGCGTTCAGACTCTTCGACGAACATGCGCCCATCGCAACTCTCGGGATCAGCAGTAGTTCCAGCTCGAAATGCTGGTCGGGGCTGTGCCTGGGCGGCATACAGATGCTGGCCTGGAAAGAGTACTGCCCTACGTGCGAATAGTACAAGGACTGCTAGGGGCACGACCTTGTAATCAAGGCACTCCACTGTATCCGACGAAGTGGCTGAGACAAGCGCTGAACTGTCCAGAGCATCATCCATGCACTGGTACGAGTAGAGGTACGCTAGCACGCCAAGGGCCATAAAGAGCGCGAAGACGCTGAAGACCGCGATCCAAACCTCAGCCGCACATGATGAAGGCACCATGCACAAGCGGTGCACCGATCATCCCACACAAAACGCGGTAAACTGCTAGGCCCCGCTGGCCAGGGAACCCTCTGTCGCATGCGAGGATTACTACCTGTACAGATTACCCGAATACCACAAAGTGCAACCTAGCTCGCAGCATGCACAAATGCTTGGGGCGTCTTTGCGCATGAGCCTGGGGACTCCCCTGGGGCCTCCTTGGGCAGCTTGGGGCCTCCTGGTGTCTCTTGGGGCTTCCTGTGGCCTCCTGAAGCATCCTGGGGTCTCGTGTGGCCTCGTGTTGCCTCCCGGGGCATCCTGGAGCCTCCTGGGGCCTCCTGTGGCATCCTGATACCTCCTGATACCTCCTGGTACCTCCTGTGGCCTCCTGGAGCCTGCTGGAACCTCCTGTGTCATCCTGAAGGGGATCCGTGCCCACCAGTCTGGCCAGCAAAATAAGCAAACCGCTCGAGACATCCTCAAAATATGTTCCCCCCCCCTTGGGGGCAAAAATAAGCCCCTCGCTCGAGACATCCTCCAAATCTGCTCCAAAAGCGAAGGATGCTGCGGCACCGAAACAGGCCAACCGCCGGAGACGTCCCCACGATATGGGCGCGAAGCGAGGCCGTGCGAAACCCCTGGCGACCCCCTTCGGAGTGCGAAAACCAGCAAACCGCTCGAGACATCATCAGAATCTGCTCCAAAAGCGAAGGATACTGCGGCACCGAAACAGGCAAACCGCCTGAAACGCCCCCGCAATCTGGGCGCGAACAGAGGCCGTGCAATACCCCTGGCGGGCCCCCCCTCAGGAGTGCAAAACCAGCCAACCGCTCGAGACATCCTCAGAATCTACTCCGAAAGCAAAGAATTCTGCGGCACCGAAACAGGCAAAACGCCTGAGACATCACCGCAATCTGGGCGCGAACAGATGCCGTGCCATACCCCTGGCGGCCCCCCTTAGGAGTGCTGAAGCCAGCAAACCGCTCGAGACATCCTCACAATATGGTCCCTCTGGTCGTCATCATCATCATCATCATCATCATCATCATCAGCAGCAGCAGCAGCAGCATCATCATAATCAGCATCAGCAGCAGCATAATCCTCATTATCATCACCACCACCACCATCATCATCATCACCACAGCAAAACATAAAAAACCATAACACAGCGTAACATAACATAACACAACATAGCATAACATGTCACCTAACAGCATAACATAACGTAACACAACATCGCACAATCTACCAAAACATAGCATGGAATATCATACTCTGAGCGGGATGGGGAAGAGAAGGAGGCGGGGAGGAAGTGTGAGAGGAAGTCCGCGCGGTCGCAATACTAACAAGAACCCCATCCTTTGGATATACGGGAAAACTGCTAAATGCTCGGTAGCACGGCTTTACACCGCAGCGCACATTGCAAGACACACAACGGTCGGGTACCGTTCCAAAACACTATATAACACACCACAGACAACATCCCACGATATAGCAACACATAACATAACATCATAAAACAAGTACGCTTTCGCAACATCTAAGTAAACGGACAATACGCAAGCAAAATGGTCTCAACACAACTGGGGAATGGACACATACCTATCTATATTTCTATATATATATGGATACCTATATATACACATACATACATACATACATACATCCATACAGACAGACAGACAGACATGCATACATGCATGCATGCATGCATGCATACATACATACGTACGTATGTGCATACATGCATACATGCGTGCATGCATACACACATACATACATGCATACATACACACACATTCATACATACATACATACATACATACATACATACATACATACATACATACATACATACATACACACACACACACATACATACATACATACATACATACAGACAGACAGACAGACAGACAGACAGACAGACAGACAGACAGACAGACATACGTATATACATGCATACATACACACACACATACATACATACATACATACATACATACACACACACACACATACACACATACATACACATGCATACATACGTACGTACGTACATGCGTACGCACGTACATACGTACGTACATACATACATACATACATACGTATATATATACATACATACATACATACATACATACATACATACATACATACATACATACATACATGCATGCATGCATACATACATACATACATACATACATACATACATACTGGGCCGTGGGACACGTAAAGATACATGAGATTCACGCTCCCGACGCAATAATCCCTTGTAAAATACACTGTGTCCGCGACCCCGATGCCACGATCCCTTGTAAATTGCTCCACCTTCGCGTCCCCGATGCAACGATCCCTCGTAAAATACGCCAGAATCGCGCCCCGAGGCCACGATCTCCCGGAAATTAAGCTACATTCGCGCCTCTGGGGCTACGATCCCCCGTCAAATAGACTACAGTTGCGCCCCCGAGGCCACGATCTCTGTTAAAGTACGCAGTACTCGCGCCCCCGAGGCCAGTAACCATCCCAAAGTATACGATTTGCGCGTCCCCGAGGCAACAAACACTTGTAACTTACACCAGATTCGCGTCGCCGAGGCCATTCACCCACGCAAATTATACAATTGTTGCGCCCCCGAGGCAACAAACCTTCGTAAATTGCTCAAGGCATATGCGTCCCCCGAAGCAACAAACCCTCGCAAATCACTCAAACTTCGCATTCCCGAAGCCGCGACCCGCCGTAAAGTATACAATATTCGCGTCCCCGGGGCCACAAACCCTCGCAAATTGCTACGATCGCGTCCCCGAAGCCATGTGTAACTTACCCCAGATTCGCGTCCCCCAAGACACAAACCCTAGCAAATTGCTCAATTCTCGCGTCCCTCCCCGAGGCAACAAACCCCCATAAAGAATTCGATGTTCGCGTCCACGTGGCCATAAGCTCTCGCAAATTACGCCATATTCGCACCGCCAAGGCCAACAGTGTTCCAAGGCGCCCGAAGATGGTCCCAAGACTGCCCAAGAAGGCCCCAAGAGACCCCAAGAGCGCTCCAAGAGGCCTCCCGAGAGCCCCAAAAGGCCAACATCGTCGATGTGATTCAAGTTTTTGAAGAAGCTCAGGGTTCTCACATTCTCGGCTTTCCGACGTTTAATTTCCGTTGGTTTTTGAAGGATTTTGGCATTTGCGCCTGTTCGGCTTTCCGACAGCCCAAGAGGCCCCAAAGATCGCCCAAGAGGCCCCCAAAAGAGCCCCATGACGGCCCAAGTGGCCTCCAAGACGGCCCCGAGGGGGTCCCAAGACGGCCCAAGAAGCCTCCAACACGCCCAAGATGGCCTCCAAGACGCCCAAGATGGCCTCCAAGACGGCCCCGAAGCGCCCCAAGAGGGCCCCAAGTCGGGCCGTCTTGGGGCGGTCTTGGGGGCCTCTTGGAGCGTCTTCAACGCAGTGAAAGCCGAAAAGCCTTGTATGCTAAAAATGTACCTTTTCCCATCGGAAATCAATGATTTTCGCCTCCCGGTGGCCTCTTGGGACGCCTCTTGGAGGCCTCTTGGGGCTTCTTGGGGGGCTGTGGGGGCCTCCTGGGAGCGCCTTGGGGCGAAAGGCCATTCCCAACTTCCCCGCGTCTTTCTGAACTTGCCCATGTCTTTCCCGTCTCCCCCGCGTCAATATAACCGTCCCCACGGCCCGTGAACTCCTCCATGTCATTCCCAACTCCCCCGTGCCTTTCTGAGCCTCCCCATAGTCGCCCAACCTCCACCTCGCGCACGCCACGTTCGCCGCGCGCGGGCCAACTGATACACCCCTACGCGCAGTCCACCATCTTCGCCATCACAAGCCAACTTCCCTCATGACCTTCCACACCTCGATTGCGTGTTTGGCCTCAACATGGCTTAATGGGCAGTGGATCTCATCAAAACATGGGCACAAGACGGCTCGAGATGCCTCCAAGACGGCCCAAAACGGCCACAAGTGGACCGACCTCGAACAGGAGAAGCCAAATCAGTGGTTTCCCGTGGTTACTACAACGGATTTTGCATTCTCGCCGTCAGCTGAAGATGGCCCAAAACGCCACCACGATGGCCCCGAAGACGGCCCAAGGGGCCCCCAAGACGGTCCCAAGATGGCCGACTTCCCACGATGGCCCAACAAGCATCCCCGAAGACAGCCCAAGAGGGCCTCCTGTGGGACCCAAGACTGCTTTAGAAAGCCTTTCGACGGCCAAATAGGGCCACACGACGGTCCCCAGGAACCCACCGTGCGGCCATGAGGGCCCCACGACGGCCCAAGAGAGCCTCAAGACGGTGAAAAAGGACTCCAGGACGGCCCCAAAGGACCCCTAAGACTGCCTCACAGGCCGCCAAGACAATCCAAGACGATCCGACAGAATTCCATGAGAGCTCCTCAAATAGTGAAGACGAATGCCTCCTCCTCCTCCACATCATCATCATCATCAGCATCCTCCTCATGCTCCTCCTTCTCCATCTCCTCCTCCACCTCCTCCTCATCCTCCTCCGCCTCCTCCTCCTCCTCCTCATCATCATCATCATCAGCAGCAGCATCGTCGTCATCAGCATCAGCATCAGCATCAGCATCAGCATCATCATCATCATCATCATCATCATCATCGTCATCGTCAGCGTCATCATCATCGTCGTCATCAGCATCATCATCAGAATCAGCATCATCATCATCAGCAGCATCATCATCAACAGCATTATCCTCATCATCATCAGCATCATCATCAGCATCATCAGCATCGTCATCATAATCAACAACATCATCATCATCATTATCAACATTATCATCACCATCACCATCATCATGATCATCATCAATATCAGCATCATCATCATCGTCATCATCTGAATCATCATCATCCTCATCATCACCAGCAGCATTATCGCCAGCATCATCAACATCATCATCATCATCCTCATCATCATCATCATCATCGTCAACATAAGGAGCAGCAGCAGCGACCTTATCATCCTCATCATCGTCATCATCATTACCACCATCATCATTATCAGCAGCAGCATCATCAGCAGCATCAGCATCATCAGCAGCATCATCTTCATCAACAACAGCATCGTCATAATCATCACCACCACCATCATCATCCCTACCTCCCTCCTCACACTCATCCTCATTATCATTATCATCCCTGCCGTCGACAGCAACATCAACATTAGTCAGGTCATAGTCATCATGATCATCAGCAGCATCATCCACATCATCAGCATCATCATCAACTACAACATAATCAACATCATCAGCATCATCAAACTCATCATCATCGTCATCATCCTCATCCATAACATCATCGATAACATCTTCACCAGCATCATCATCATCACCACCATTACCACCAACAACAATACCACCACCATCATCATCATCATCATGATCATCATCATCAGAAGCAGCAGCAGCAACATCATCACCATCATCACGGCTCTCCCTCCTTCGAACAGTCGCCACCGAGAATGCTGGGCTGGCACGGTGGCAGGATTTGCCGCAGGCAGCTGGATCCGCCGCCCCCTGCTTGCAGGGGTGCACGGCGTGCTGGATGATTCAGGTTTTGGTTTTGGTTCTTTTTCCAAAAGAACTTCCCAGTGGGCTCCGGCAGAACCCGCCGGCCACCCGGAATTTCCCCAAACGTGCTCAACGACCGCAAAAAATCCTCCAAGAACGGCCGTTTCGCTCGGGACATCCTCAAAAAATCGCGAAGATGGCCCAAGATGGCCTCCAAGTCCGCCCGAGATGGTCCAAGACGGCCTCCAAAACGGCCCAAGAGAGTCCAAGACGGCCCAAGACGGCCCAAGAGGCCCCCCAGAGGCCTCCCAGACGGCCCAAGAGGCCTCCAAGAGGTCCTCCAGGAGAGTCCGAAGAGGCCAAAATCATTGATTTTCCCTTGGTTTTTGAAGGATTTTGGCATTTGCGCCTTTTCGGCTCTCCGACGGCTCAAGACGGCCCAAGAAGCCCCCAAGATCGCCCAAGAGGCCCCCAAGAGAGCCCCATGATGGCCCAAGTGGCCTCCAAGATGGCCCCTAGAGGGCCCCAAGAGGGCCCAAGAGGCCTCCAACACGCCCAAGATGGCCTCCAAGACGCCCAAGATGGCCTCCAAGACGGCCCTGGAGCATTCCAAGCGGGCCCCAAGTCGGCCCATAGAGGCCCCCCAAACGGCTTCCGACGGCTTCAGACGTGCCAGGAACCCACCAAGATGGCCGAAGTTGGCTCGAAGCTGGCCCGAGACGGCCCAAAAAGCCCCAAAGATCGCCCAAAGCTTGCCCAAGAGGCCTCCAAGACGGCCAAGATGACCTTCAAGATGCCCACGTGTTCCCCGAAGGCTTTCCAAACCGATTCGGGGAACACGTGGTCCGATAGCTTGGCAGGTCTGGCCTCAACGTTCGGCCACATAGGCGCTTCCAAAAAGGCAGGGGGCGGCGGTGATTCGCCGTAGGCGTCTTCGATATCACTGTCCAGAACATGTGAAAACCCAAAGCGAAAGGTAGGAGAGAAAGTAAACGTATGTGATACCTGGCAAGAGGGCAACGCCATCGCACGAGTTGTAGACGGATGGCAGTGGTGCTGACGGCGATACATTACTAATGCTGGTGATTGTAAGGGCGGTGGTGGAAAAGTGATGGTTCGAATGACGCTGATAAGACCCCCTGCACCTCAGTAGCCAGGAACCCTACACACATCAACGCTCCTGCCCCAGCGCAGCTTGGGGGCTTCAGTGGTGGCAATGGTAGTAGTGCCAATACGGAATGTCAGATAATTACCAGCGGCGTAGCGATCTTGGCGTGAAGCGATCTTGGGCCATCACCACAGGCTTGATGAAGAAGCGGAGCAGCACCAAGAAGACCAAGCCTGGGCAGAGCAGGGCGAGCGCAGCGCGCCGTTTATCCGGATCTTGCGACACGCCACTGGTATCGGAACGCCAGCGCACGGCAATCTCCTATATCAGACCTGACACACTCCTGCCCTCTGCAAAATCGACCCCTGCACCCGGCCCTTGCACCCAATCCGTAGAAGGCTCACGCGACGGGGGACCGAACGGCGACGGAGCCCGAGACTCCGAGAACGGAGCACTGCGGAGCACCGAATTTGAGCGCTTGACGAGGCAGCCGAGCGACACCGGCTCGGCCGTCTGCGCGCCCCGCTGCGGCCTCGCCGCGCGAGTGCGCATGCCCCCCTCTCCCCCTCCCCTCCGCGGCCAGCCCTGTGCTTATTCTCCTCTTCGGGCAGGACAGTTCGCAGTGGCGTGGCCCGGGTTGCTCGGACGCGCGCGCGGACTGCCCCTGCCGCGCTGCTGCGCAAAGAGTATGCAGCCAAGCGGAGCCGACCTGAAGCGTCCGAGGCCCTCCGCGCCGAGTAGATCCGCAGGGTGGCGGGGTTCGCAGGTGCTCGCGGGGAGGAGCCCGCGCGAGAGGCTGGCGGGCCCTCCTCCGAGCGAGAGCGCCCCTCCCCGCGGGAGGACCGCAGCCTCGCTCCCGAAGCCTGGACGATGGGCTGGCAGACCTTCACAGCGAAAGCCAGGGCGGGTCCAGGACGGCGGCAGAGGGGGCCGGGGACGAAGCACGGAGGAGCAAGAGCCCTTCGAGCACCAGGAAGGGCGGCGACGGCTCTGGCGGCGAAATCCGCCTTGAGTGGGTTGTTTTTGACGGCGCGCAACGACGGCAGGCATCGCGGGCAGATGTTCGGCGGACGTATCGGCCTGAACCCGCCGCAACAACAATAAACGAGGTTTGGCGACGCACGATCGCCAGAGAAGTATCAAAATTATCTTGACGAAGGACCCAACCATATGCAGTTGTGAAGACCACGGTTGAAAGAATTGTCTTCGGTGGAGCTCCGTCGGGCGCCGCGAAGCGCGTGAGGGGCGTGCCATAATGGTGGTTGGGGGAGCGCATGCGAACTGTGCCACTGGGGCCTTCAATTGAGGTCCTTACGGGGCCAAGAAACGTACGAGGGGTGTGCCGAAATGGGTCCCGGGCACGCATGCAAACGTCGCCACTGAAGCCTTCTGTGGAGCTCCCTCCGGGGCCACGAAACAGGCGGTGGGTGTGCCGAAATGGGCGGAGGGGACGCATGCCAACGTCACCACTGGACCTTAGGTGGAGCTCCCTATGAGACCATGGAACGTATGATGGGGGGGGTGGGGGGGCCGCAATGGGCGGGGAGGATGCATGCGAACGTCGCCACTGGGGCATTAGGTGAAGCTCCCTATGGGGCCACGAATCGTCTGAGGGTTGTACCGAAACCGGTGCGGCGGTGGCACCGCCGCAGGTGCCACAGCGGTGCCATGAGGGCGCAGGCATCGGGGGCCTTCGGTGGAGCTTCCTAGAGCCACGACACGTGTACGGGGTGTGCCGAAATGGGTGAGGGTGGGACGCATGCGAATGTCGCCACGGGGGTCTTTTATGGAGCTCCCTGGGCCACGAAACGTACGAGGGGTGTGCCGAAATGGGCGGGGGAGACACATGCGAACGTCACCACTGGAGTCTTAGGTGGAGCTCCCCATGGGACCATGAAACGTGTGGGGGGGGGCGAGGGGTGCAATGGGCGGGGGGGACGCATGCGAATGTCGCCACTGGGGCATTAGGTGGAGCTCCATGTGTGGCCACGAGACGTGTGAAGGGTGTGCCGAAATCGTTGGGGGGGGCGCATGCGAACGTGGCCACTGGGGCTTTACGTGGAGTTCCCTCTGGTGTTACGAAACGTGTGAAATGTGCGCCGAGATGGGTGGGGGACGCATGCGAGTGTCACCACTGGGGCATTAGGTAGAGCTCGCTATGGGGCCGCGCGATGTGTCGGGGGTGTGCCGAAATCCGCCGATCCGGCGTGTGAGTTTCTGAGAGCGTGGACTTGAGCTCGCTCAAGCTTCGCTCTGCAGGGGGGGGGGGAGGCGTACGTTATTTCCGACGTCATTTCCGACGTTTTTCGGTACACGGGGATACTTCCGACGTCATTTCCGACGTTTTTCGGTACCCGGGGGCAGGGGGGTATAGAAAACTCCACTTCCGGAGCCCCGACCGCCCAAGACAGCCCAAGAGGAAGCCAAGAGAGGCCCCAGCGGCCCCCTAGACAATGCAAGAGGGCCCCGAATCGCCGAAACATCATCCTCATCATCCTCATCATCCTCATCATCATCATCATCATCATCATCATCATCATCATCATCATCATCATCATCATCATCATCATCATCATCATCATCATCATCATCGCTCTCACCCCCCCCGGATCGGCGGCACTGGCCGGAGGCCAGCCCAATAAGGCGGACGCATGCGAACGTCGCAACAGGGGCCTTACGTGGAACTCCATTTTGGGGGCACGAAACGTACGAGGGGTGTGCCCTAATCAAAAAAAAGACGCATGCGAACGTCGTCACTAAAACCTCAAAAAAAGCGTCCGGTAAAGTCACAAAACGCGTGAGGGGTTTGCCGAGATGGTTGACATGCGAAGGGCAGAGGCAGGGATGTGATGAGGGAGGAGCGGGAGGAGGAGGAGAGGAGAGGAGAGGAGACATCTGCTTCACGATAAGGATGGGCGAGACGCTGCCGACTCGAAGGTCCTGGAGCCTCGGGATCCTCCCTCCGCGTTTGGCCGTCCCTGGCCCCAGCGCCCAAAACAGCAGGCCACAGCTGCCGATCGGCCCTGCGCGAGCCCCATGCCGCGGGCCGAGCCCTCCTGGCCAGGCCCCCGGGAGGGGAGCGGGAACCTTGCGATCGAGAACGCGCCACTCCCGTAGAATCGGAAGCTGGGCGAGGGCTGGCAAATGCGTGGCTGCTCAAGCGATCTTCCCAGAAGAAAAACAAGTTCCCAGAATAAAGCTCAGCGCGCCCAATAGTGAACGAGCTGCTTCCCAGAAGAAAAAACAATTTCCTGGAGCTCCGTTTTAGCAGCCACGGGTTTGCCAGCCTTCGCCTGGCTTCTGATTGACGCCTCCCAGATGTCCAAGTGGATGTGGTCGCCGCTGCGTCGGCGATGCGTCGCCGATGCATCGGCGACGTCGGCGATGCATCGGCACCGTCAGCGTGGCGAGAGTAGAGCTCCACATCGCGCCGCATAGGCGATGCAACGGCGAGGTGGCGCGATCCTCCGACCCCATTTGCTCGGACCCCATCTGGTAAGCATTTGTATCTTCTGGGTTTCGGCATTTGGCTGGGGTATCTTGAGTCTGGGCCGGTGGGGGGGGGGGGGAGGGGGGGAGGAGGAGGGGAGGAGGGGGGGGGGGAGGGGGGAGGGAAGGAGCAGGAGGGGGGCCAGGGGCCCGCGCCCATCGGCGAAACACAACATAAAAAAGCAGCTACCTGGGAGGCCTAGATCCGTCGCGCTGCCTCGCCTGGCCACGCAGCGCCCCGCCCCTGCCCTGTGTTTGCCGCCTTGCCCTGCCCCTCTGACGGCGCGCCACCTTGTCGGGGCGCTGCCTGCGCGCGCCCTCCCGAAAGCGCGCCGGGGCTCCCCAGAGCACGTCCCAGTGAGCCCCTCGGTGGCGGGGGACTCCTCCTCCTCCTCCTCCTCCTCCTCCCTCCTCCTCCTCCTCCTCCTCCTCCTCCTCCTCCTCCTCCTCCTCCTCCTCCTCCTCCTCCTCCTCCTCCTCCTCCTGGGCCACGGGGGGAAGGGATCGGGCGGGCGAGGGGGCGTCTCGGAGCCGGGCTTCTGCCCCCGCTCCGTCGAGCTGCGCTCGGAGCTCCGACGGGGCGCGCCCTGGTGTCCCCGGGAGCTTGCGGGCGGGAGGGGAGGGGGCGTGGCCCTGCCGCGTCGCTGGCGGCATGGGAGCGGCTGGTACGGGAGCCGAGGGGAGCCCCAGAGCCAGGAGGGGCGGGGGCGGGGGGAGTGAGCGGCCCCCACTGACTGCCTACCAGACCACCCCAACCCAACCCGAAGACCCGGATTTCGGGTTGGGGGGGTATGGGTTCCATACGTGTTTTTTCGATGTTCCCCGACCCCCCCCAACTGGAAATGGAGGGCAGATTGAGGCCTTCGGGTTGGGTTGGGGTGGTTTGGTGAGCGGCCCCCCACTGGGAGGCAGGGGCCAAGCGGGCCTGGAGGCCAAAGGCCACGGGCCCAGGGCGATGGGGGCTCGGAGGGGAGGGGCCAAGAGCCGGGGAGGAAGAGGGAGGGCGCTGGGGAAAGGGGCCGGCGGAAAAGAGGCCAGGGCGGGGAGCAGTGGCCCGCGCATCGCCACGCCCCAAGAGCCCATCACGAAGGCCAGGACGCAGACGATGATGGTCACGTCCCAGGTCTCCAGGAACGTGGCGAAGGACTGGCCAGCCGGAGCATTTCCCGAGGAGACGGCCCATCACTAAGCCACCTCAAGAGAAGGTCGATGGCCAGCCTCCGCAGAGCCAATAAGAGTTTTTGTCTGCGTTGTCTGCATTTCGCTCCTCGAATGTGGGCCGAGAGTGGAGGGGACACGACGACGGAGTGATGAGGCCATGACATGGCTCAGCTTCTGGTACAGTGCGGCCAGATTATAAGGATGCGCGGTAATGATGTAAGGCCCTTGGACGCCCATTTTCAAAACGAACTTGGAGTCCATGGCCTATGGCCCAGGTCCAAGGGCTAAGATGGGCAGAAAGGCAAGGATGCAAAGATACCCTTGGCAAGTCCTTCATCCTTAATCCTTGTGATGCGGTTTGACTGCAGCGAAGAACAGGATCAAAAAGAACGCAAACTATGACCGTGCAAAGACAGGAGAGAACCAGCAGCAGGTAGGGGAATCGCTGGTCGGCATCCGAGGGGAGGCTGTGCGACATGGCTGCTTTACGCATAACGTCCTTGGGCTCTGAAGAGCCGCACTCCGTCGCCTCCACTATCTTTCGCTTCGCCCTCTGTCACCGACCCCTAATGCCCCCCCCCCCCCATGCTTCGCAGGCCGATTTCCTTGGCCGGGTCCCCTGCCTCCGCCTGTATCCGACCCTGCTGTTCGACACGCGCCGCCCTCCTCTGGCGGAACCTGCGCGGGAGAGGGTTCTTGCCTGCCCTGTTCCCCAGACTTGGAGGCCTGAGGGGGTGACCTCCACCAAAGGAAGATGATCCTGGATTTGGGTGCTGGTGGTGAAATATCTATCGGCCACCTAACAAGCCCGAATACTACCACCATCCGCAAGATCAAGATCACCTTCCTTCGGTGGAGGCCACCGCCGATACTGGTGTTGGTGCCAGCCTCTAGGCATCCGACCAGCGCCTGCACCGAAGGGGCTGCTACCCGGGCGCCGAAGAGCTGCCCTCGGCCGCCGCCGATCTCTCTCGTTTCCTGCCCCGTCCCCTGCGGTGCCGGGCCTCTAGTCTCGCCCCCTCTGCCGGCCGATGTCCTCTCCGTT